GCGCATCGGTGCGAGATTTTTACATTCTTTCTGGCACCGATGCGCATCGGTGCCCAGAAAAAATAATTATTCGGCACCGGTGCGCACCCGTGCACAACCAGTGCCGATAAAATATTTTTTTGTAGGGAAACTTATTAAACAAAAAGAGTGAAATTTCAAAGCTGTTCTTGTCGAAAATATATGCAATTAAACTGCTTTAAACCGCATAGGAAAAAATCACAATGCTAAACACGCGCGTCACGTGACGTCTTAGTTGGCAAAAAGAAGATTATAATGTTAAATGGTTTTTTTGCTTCATCTTTTATGGTAAAACAATTTAAATGGCTATTTCTCACAGAAATAAGAAAGAAAGAACAGCCCCTGGTGAGCAAAGCCAGTGCTTTTAATGATAAGTGTACTAAGTGGAAGCAAAGTGTACGTACACTTTGTTTTTTGAAAATACACTTTGCTTTATACTTTGCTTTTGAAAATTTTTCACTCTGAAAAAAATTTTTTTACACTTCCAGCACACTTTAGTTAGAAAAACAAAATGCACTAATATACTTTGCTTGAAATTCCTATTAAAAACACTGAGTAAAATTAATTTTCGATCTCCTAGTATTATCTTTTACGCAGCCAAACGCGCTAAGTCACCAAATAATGGTCATGTGAAACGCGTGGGTAATCAATGCGTCTTAACGCACCCGTTTTCGCTTACGCAGCAAAACGCGTTTGATTTAAACGTGTTTTTATGCGTTTATAGTACACCAACGCGTCAAAACTAATGCGTTTCAACTCGCGTTGACTCAAAAGAAGCCTTACCCTGGCTTAACTCGGGTATTTTTCTGTTTATTCTTCTGGCAGTAATCGTATGTAAAGCCTCCACATTTCCAGTCAAAGCTTATTATAATTTCCTGTATTGTTCTTGTTCTGCTAGCTCGGGATCTGTACGGCTACTACCCCATAGGTGGAAATATGAGGGTTAAAGCATTTACTTCAGTTCTTTTTTGGCAAGATTTATTCGTGAAACTATTTCTGTATTCTGTGATCCTAAGCGTCAGTGTTCGCTAAAATTTGAGCGAACAACGGTATGGTATTGATTCATTATAATGGCAGGACTCAGATACAATCGCACAATAAACTAACAGTTTTTTACTGGCCATAATTGTAACAGAACAACCATTATTCGAAATAATCAAAAGCAGATGTAAAAGTATTTTTCAAGTGTTTTTCAACCGCTTTTTTCGTCTTGTTAACGTGTACACGTTTATTTATAAAGGCCACTGGTAGATTTTTCGACTTGTGAACTTTTTTTTGACGAAAATAGTGCTCACTGATGTAGTTAAAGGTGAACATATAAGTGAATAGTTTTCACAGCTATTTAGTCAATATCATAACATTCATAATGTCTACTGTGATATTTAAAAAAACAACTTTGAATTGACAAAGGGCAGGCAACGAAGCAGGAAAGAAAAAGTAATAAAGAAGTGTTTTATTAGGTATCCTCTACCTTCTCCAATTGAAGAAACAAATAGCCCCGCGGGGCACGACTTTTGTATGAGAAAAAATGAAAAGAAGAACATAAAGATAATGGTAAAAACTATAGAGACGTACATGTATCGTCTCAATGATTAAATTAAATACATATTGTTGTTGTTCACTTGGTTGAAGTTTAATACATTTTTTTCTCTATCAACACATCAATAAAATAGACAGGAAAGTTGTAATAGCACCATTTAACCACAAAACAATCCAATGTTGACGTTGGCATTTATTGTATTAAGAATTACAAAAGTTATCAAGTCTTCTTTAAAAAGAGAAATACATCATGAGAAATCCGTGCACCAGAATGACAGACAAAAGCCGACAGTATGCTTACAATGTCATAGAAAGTTGGAAGATGAAAAAACTGATGAGCAGTCCTCTACTTTTGATTATTCCTTACAAGCCCATTATCCGAATTCGATGTTAATCGAGGATTTTGTGTTTAAAACAAAAGAATTACTGGTACCAAAAGGTTTTTATCCAAATGTGAATACGATGTGCTGTATTGGTTTATGCCGAGATGAAATAACATGTCAATTCAAAAATATTATTGAGTCAATGTATGGTGCGGGATTTTCATGTGGATCATTAGCGGGCTTATTGTTTTGTGGACGAACAGGTTTTTTGGCTGCTCATCATCATGTACCAGCCGATAGTGCCTGTCTAATTTATTATTGTTTCACTCATATCGCAATTAGTGAGAAAGGTGAGATAGGTGTAGTGTTAAGAAGTAAAACCGGTATGAAACAGAAATCAACAGCTTGTGGTGCCTTAATGGCATTTACAAATACATTAAGTGAGGGTATTCAATTACCAATTGAAATTGATGAAAATGATGTGGAAATGAGCTGTTTAAAGAAACATGTGTTAGAAACGGTGCCGACGTTATCGACCAATTCGACATTATTAGATGTGACACACGCTGCTTATTTAACCATTACACGTGATTTAGAATATCATGTTCTGCAAGATTCAAAATGTTATCAAAAACGCAAGTATGCACTATTTACAGGTATACAAATACACGGTCCAAATGGGCACGATTCAGTCTGGCTAGGGAAATCGAGTATTGTTCAGAATGGAACGCTGGTAGATTTACCATTTCATGAAACAAACAAATATCAAACATAATGTACAAATGCTAAGTGAAAGACTACAGTGTAAGTTATTATGGTTGTCATAGCATGAAATGAAACAGTGAGTAGTATTAGGTGTATATTAGTAATCTTTGATTAAAAAATCATAATGGTGAATCAAGTAATTATTTTTTAACAAGTCTTATTAGATTAATCCCCGTGAAGCTTAAAATGAGGAGTTTCCTAATGAGTATCGTCAAACTTATTTTTCATTTGCAGATAAAGATTGTGAAGTCCTAAAGGGATCATGGGGTTGATAAAAACAACCTCAAAAACTGTTTACATCCTGTTCTCGAAGAAAAGTCCGAGTAAAACATGATGTAACCAAACGTGAGAAAGCTATAGTCACTTTTAATGCCGGAGTATTAGTTAAATGCGTGATGATTATCCAAAAAGCAGGTCCTGTTCTTGATTTCTTCCACTGGTCAGGGAAAAAAACAGATCCTGTCCAAGAAAAGAGGACAAGGACTTTTTTACTTACAGTTTACTGACCAGTGATCTGATCAGGCTAAACTGGACATTCTCTAGGGCAGTCAGAAAAGGAAGTCACATGACATGGCGCAAGAATTTTTGCAAGACACGTGACGTGGCTTTGCCACACGCACGGCCACTTAACGTGTCCTGCCCGCGGAAAATCTAGCGTGGCTATGGCAAGTTTAGAGCATGTAAGTTCACCTGGGTAAGAAAAAAGAAAATAACAGTGCGATTTGTATCAGCAGATTTGTTCACGTTCAATAGCTAGACGAATGACAGAGAGGAGAAACACCCTGTTTTAAAAAATCACTTACATCTGGCGATTTCTTAATAAAATGCAACTCAGTATCAGAATTCACTTTTAAACAAATGGATGAAGAGCGCAAATATCGACCTAACAAACAGACTATTTCATTTCTCTCAAACACAGGGGGGTACCTACTGGGAGGTTTACCACTCTACTTTTAGAAAAGTTTCTGTTTTGTGTCTTTTGCTCTTCAAAAAACTATATTTTTTGGAAGAGCGAAAATTTCTTTTGGTAGGACCCCCCCTGCTGTAAGATGCTAGGTACACCCCTGCTCAAACACATGGTTAGGTATAGAAAGCAGGTAATTGTCTGCGAAACTACTTTATTGTGAGTGAAAAAAATCTCTTACTTTGTAAATGAAACCTAGAAGTCACAGAATAAAGCAGTCATTTTGTCTGACTGAGGTGATCGAAACATATGGCATTGTCACTGTATATGTTTCGATCGCTTTTAGCTCAGGTGGTTAATATGTCTTTACTTCTTAATTCATGTTCGAATCACATTGAATTCATGTAAATACAAGTTGTTTCTTTCTCTACTTTATCAATCTACTAGGTTAAATTTTTTTTCAGAGGATTAGTGTCGAAAAAAGAGGATTTTTTCCGATCTAAAAGTGTATTGCAGGTTTCTATGTGTGGTAGTATATTCGGAGGTGATAAGACACGGCACTGCTGAGATGTTCACCTACTTTATTCATGATCTCATACTAGCTTGTGCAGCAACGTGGCGAGAGAAAAAAGCAGGAGGGGTGCGCATTTTTTCTGTGAGGTCACCATAGCAGTACAAAAGCTTTCAGAAAAGTGGGCTAACTTTTAACTCGAAAAAGAAAAGCAGCAGAATTCTAAGAAGGGAGAAAAAAACTATATTCGAATCTGAAATTGCTTACAACTCAGACATTTTTGTAACAAATCATCGAAAAAGAGGAAACATGACGGGAAAAGAGGAGAAAGAGGATGGGTTCTGAAAAAAAGAAGAATAAGAGGATCATTCACAACCCAGTGACTCAAATAAAAAATGAGTTGGTACATTTTCGAAAAATTTTTTGCTTTTGAGAAGAAACTGATTTCTCTGGTAACCAGAGAAAAAAAATGAGAAATTGAGCTGAAGAGTTTTGTAGTTAACATTCGAAGAAGGACGATTTTGAGGTAGTTTTTGTAAGATGCGAGCGTGGAACATTTGCAGAATACAGAAATCGGTATTCAGAAACAGCCTAAAATAATGCAATTTGTATAGGTGGTACAAAACGATGGGTGGGGCTTTATGCCTCTAGATGCCAACTAGAAAGGATTGAAATCAAGTGAAAAATTCGATTTTTATGCATTAGTAGTCGCACTCTTTTATCAAGAATCGATTTTGATTATTATGAGACACTGAAAAAACTTTTTAACTCGAGAAGATCATTTTTGGGACGAAAAAGTCTCTTCAGACTCATTTTTTACTGTCTTTGTTGTAGCAGTGACTTATCAAAGATTCATCGAGTAGCCGAGATTATTCCAATACATATCCGTAGCATGTTGTTTCGATCAACGATGTTGCGCCATGTGTTACTGTTGTTGTTCGATTTCAAATAATAAATCATTTAATACCAGTAATGAAAAAATGCAAACATCCCATCTCTCCTTGGCGAGCTCAAGCAGTGAAAGTGAGGAGAACGGCGCTTCAAATGATAAAGAACCCTGAGTAATATGTTAATGAACTCATCAGAAAATAGAATTCCTGCGAAATGGATCTTTTGTGTGAAAAAGAGCTAGACATGAGCGGTACTAAGCTGTTCCAGTCTCGGCTGCTACCTTAGTCTGGACGACTTTTAAAAGACTGTGCCTGTCCCGTACTTTGTAAAAACAACTGCCCAGCACACGACTAGTTGGAGGGCGAAAGAACACTAGCCGTCCACCATGTTCTGAGTTTGCTTTTTTGTTTCAGAAAATAATGTTTGTTGTGTTGTGTCACTGTGTGCGATAGCACCGATAGTGAATCCTCAGTCCAAATTCACCCTTATTCTGATAATCTTCGATGTCGTTTGTCCACATCCGTGTCATCAAGGCATTTTAAGTCATCACTCTTTTTTTCAGATCATTGATACGCTTGTCAACCCATGAGTTCAACGTGAAAAAGAATGTTTTTCTGCTACGATGATAAAGATGAATTTCGGTTCAAATTTCGCGCAGAAACCCTATCAGAACAGATAATGACAAGTAGTCGAGACTACTTCGGAATCTCGCCGAATCGGAAGATTTTTTTAATTTGATACAAGCGACGGTTATGTTATTCTCGCGTCAGCTCTCGCACATATCAGTGATGATACAAAAATTTCAGTCATCGAATCATCAACAATGGAAAGGTGAGCAATCTCCTCTCACAGTTAAAAAAAGCGATTTTACTGTTCATTTTATTGTCCAAAACTATTTTATTCTGATTGGACTTGGAAAAATGACTGTCGGCCACAAAATTTGATAGAATTAGAATGTTAAATGACCAGAGAATTCTTTGCGCACGAGTATAATCATTGAGATGCCTGAAGATCATGTTTCAAACGTCTCAAGTCTCTATAAGCAGAAGATAGAAACAATATTTTTTATTTAGTGGATTCGAACCGTCGTACCTATGAAAAAATAGATAGCGTCATTGCGGAGAAAATGAGTCTTTTCTCAAAAGTAGAATTTCACCTACAAGTACGGTCCCGTTAATTTTCATAATCCGCTTTCAGTTGCGTACGTCCTAACGCCGCCTTCGAATCCGGAGAAGGGCGGAATTTAAACTTTCATTGATCATTATTGATTACAATACAGAAAGCGAGTTTAAAATTAGGGACATAAACAATTATAAACAGGATAGGTCGAAACCAGATGCGAACCGTATCATGGAAGAGTTGAATCTTTTTGTATTATTATCATGAACAACTAAAATTCCGGTTAGAAAAGGATTGAAATCAGGCGAAAAATTCGATTTTCATGCATTAGTAGTCGCACTCTTTTATTGAGAATCGATTTTGATTATTATGAGACACTGAAAAAAACTTTTAGCTCGAGCAGATCATTTTTGGAACGAAAAAGTATCTCTGGAAACTTAGTTTTTACTTGTAGCAGTGGCTCGTCAACGACTCATCCAGTAGCCAAGATTGTTCTGATACACATTCGTGATATGTTGTTTCGGTCAACGATGTTGCACCGTGTGTTACTGTTGTTGTTCGATTTCACATAATAATTCATTTAATAGCGGTAATGAAAAGATGCAAATATCTGATCTCTCCTGGTCGAGCTCAAGCAGTGGAAGTGAAAAGAACAACGCTTCAACAGAAACACATCATCTTAAGAGCACCACAGACGGGGATCAGGCAATGGAGGCAATAGCAAAGGCCTTTGTTATCAACTAATTCAGCAAACATAATGACCGGGACCACATTGCCGGTTATTATATTTGCTAAATTAGTTGATAACAAAGGCCTTTGATACACTTTAAAATATATAGGCTGAAAGAGCAAACATTTTTGTACAGAATGCGTGATCAAATATTAGTTTATCACTAAAGTTAATGGAATGGCACACGAATCTTTTACCGGGACCAGAAAATTTTCTTGGTCCCGGTGCCTATCTCTAATCGAAAGTAGTAAATTAGCAGAAGAACTCATGAATCGGTTGAAAATTCGTGTCGATGAGCTTTATAATTTATTAAAATACGTACGGAACAACATTCAATTGCCCCTATTGGAACTGAACAATGAGAACGTGTTCGAGACGATGAATCAGATCTATCTGAACTTTTTCTTGAAAGAGAAATGTAAGTGAAGCGTTAGGTATAATATCAATTATGGTACCGTTTTCTTGACCGTTTGTCGATTTAAATCTCTCGGTCAAGTCAAGCGTAATATAAAGATGAATATTCACAATGAGCCCATGTAAGCGATGTAAGCCGATAAGAGAAAACAGAGTGGCTACGGTGACTGACAATTTCCAAAACGAAGACAGCTCATGGAAATCATATAATAATAAACAATGTTTAGTTTCAACATATAACAGTAACCGTGTATGATTACTAACAACTCCTATCACTTGGATTTCACAGAACTCAACAAGAACGAACATATTCAGGAAAAAGAACACTCGAGAAAAAGATATTACATTTACCAAATACGGTTGCATTTTCAACACATCACAGATTATCTGTATTTTACCAAGATTTTCCAGCTCGAACATATTTAACGTTCAGAAAAGATCGAGAAAAATGGTTCGATATCGAGTCTACTTTTTCAAAATTTTGTCGCCTTCGGTGGTGACAAGTCAACCGATAGACATACATCTCTAGATATGTCCACTCGTGTTCTAATAGCGGAAACGTCATAGATATATAAAGTACATTTTAGCATTTAATCTATCATGTATTTATCTTCATTTTTTTCCATTTCGTTAAGATTTGTTTGACACGTATTTAGATCTTTTTTACACGATTGTAATTGATTATAAATATTTATGATTTATTTTTGTTGTTCATCTAACAATGTACTTGTAATTAACATTTGACCATTGTGATACTGTTTGAGTTGTCTATCAGTCATTGTTACATATGTATCAGAAAAAGATAGAGAAGTTTATGAAGCTAAAAAACCGAGCTTTTTAGGCTTTGAAAGAAAAACTTCATAAATGCTTACTTTTTTAAGAAAGGCTGTGGAGTGTTGGGAGCGGTCTCATTTTGTAGCTCACACTTTCCTCTACATCAGGCTATGCTCAGCTCAAAGTCCGAGATTGTCCAAAAAGAGGGGGAGTACCCTTAATTAGAAATCAAAGGAAGCAGTAAGTTTCTTCTATATATGTGCTGTGGATAATTATAACTAGTGAATGGTTCAATTTCATACAAGAAACAGATTTTCGAGCTTTTTACCACTTTTGTTCTTCTCAAGTTAATAATTTCTTCGATCAAGAACGCACATATATTTCGAATTATCGTTTTCGTTTTTTGAAACTGATTTAATGTCCTTTTCTCTCTGTAACAAGCTTGTGTGTTCAAAGAGCATGATGTATTCTGCGAGTTTAGATCCAAAAGTAACTTACTTAATTTTCACCTGCATTGATTGTTACAGCATATATGCGCCTAACAAAGCCTTAAGCGACTAAAACTATTGTTCTTGGCTCGTAGTGGAAAAATTATTAGCAAATTTCAAATGAGATCTCTGTTTTTCGGATAGATTACGAATGTTTCTTCAATCAAATATATCAACAACTCTTCGATTTTCTAAGTAGTATTTTGGTTTATTACATGGATATGCTACAGCAAAACAAAGAGCCAAATGTCTTTTCAGCTGTGTTCTCTGATTATTATTTATACTACTTCTTTATACTATCAGGAATATACATCTATATCATTTTGAAGTGGTGGATGACACAGAATTCACGCAAGCTAATGCTGATATACTATTTTTTAGTAAAAGATCATCATCTATTACCTACATTAATTACAAAACCTGCACAATTTTTCAGTATTTACAACGATTATGTGTCGAGTAGTGATGGAGCTGGAAAAGCGTTGTCGTATTAAAACATTGAAATTAAACATTAGTACAGAGTGAATCATTAACATCATTATAAATCGAATATCTATATCATTCGAAAATAACTGTTTATAATTTGGCAATTCAATGTTTAAATCGTCGAATCTGAGCAATGTAAATGATATTACTAACATCCAAAGATCCCAAAACTTTTGTGGTATCATTTGTCCGTTTCAAGCCTAAGTCTGTAAAGGTCTATGTAACATTAACTGTGCTAAAGCTTTTTTTCATAGAATTGCTGATCGGATATTTTTAAAAGCTTCTCCTGTTAGTGTGTTGTTTAATAAATCACTGAAGTCTAAAATCTTTTCGTATACCAAAGCTTTTCCTCTATGGGAAAGTACTTTTTTTATTAATAAATTTGTTACCATGGTAGTGGTAACAATATCTACCGCATAATATCACACCAAAGCGAGAATTTTATTAATAAGAAAAAGATGTGAGAATACAGAGAGGAAAGAATTTACATGAATTTTCTTTCTACTGTAATATATTACCGTTGCTATTAAAAGATCGTATCTACACCCATGATGTGCAAAACATCATCTCATAGCAAACAATTAAATTGAATTTTTCGCTTATTTTATAAATACACCAACAGATACGATAGCGCCATCTCTCGAAATGTACAATTAGTATTTGCTGCAGATAAGAGAAATAAAGGAATTATTGTAGGTTTAGTTTGTAATATAAAATTTCCGTTTGACATTTTGCAAACCGTCCGATTCATCTTAGATCCAATGAAATTTGTGTCTTTGTCCTCTTCACTAACGATGATAAAAAGCGGACTCGTCCGACTGTATGAATGAATAACAAAAATAAAATAAAATGAAATCTGTTTTGTCTTTCTGGATTCACTGGATGGACAAGCGTTTGCTTGTCTCATGCTAAGAAAGATCAATGTAATTTCTTCATACTGTATTATGTATCAATAACTTCTCTTTGTTATTTATTTTTTCGAAGTCTGTTGTGTTGTATAAAGACTAAATTTTTAGAAGTCAAATTCATATCGATATTGTCAATTTTATAAATGTTGGTCAGCCGACTAAGGCTAGTTTATTATTTATCTTTCTTCTATTCTTCCTAAGCTTGATTATTGTTGTACCTTGTACAACAGTTCTTTTTCACGCTCTGTTCCAGACTCTGCAAACAACCTTGCTTCTCATATTATTTCTTGTAATTTTGACTATGTTTCGTCTAGCTTTTTACTCGTGTCTCAACTTTGTGTTCGTACAATACTTCAAAATTTCATCATCTTAGTCCTCTTTCTATCTTTTTCGCTGTTCTTCGTCCTTATTACGCTTCTTTACGCTACCATCATTCTAAATACGCTCGCATTTCGCCTCATGTCAAGCAGTTTTTTTTCGTTCATTACCTATCGTTACTCATTTGTTGTTTAGCTCGAGTCATTGTGATTACAGATCAGGGGCGTTTGATGATTCTCACTTTTCGAGAGTAAACTAGTTTCGTATAGCATGTAATCAGCTGAATTTTATTTTGAAAACACCAACGCGTAACCCTACGTTTATTTCAAGGAAAAACCAAACTAGAGAATAAGAGCAGACAGAAGAAGTAGAAATGGAAGTGAAGCTAGTAGCACTAATAAATGATGAAAAACATGGTATAAAACAATACTAGATGATGAACAATATTATTAAACGGGCGAAACAACACGGGCAATGCCAGACAAATACGCCTCGAACAGCAAATGTTTTCTTCTGTGTAAACGTGTGGTTTTTTAATTATTTTTGTAAATAAGTTCTTATTGTTGATATGCATATATCTTTTGGGTTTACTCTTCCTAATCTACTAAGATTACAGTATTTTATTCTTTCGAACTCCTCTTTGTCGTACTCTATGTGCAGAAAAATGAATGGCCTCTTTTCTTGCGACAAAGCATACGCGTACAAAAAGTACTAGACGATAATGTTCTCCCTTTCTCTTTTTTCTGTATTTACCACTTGTTATTTTCAGATCTATTTCATCAGCCTTCGGTCTTTTTCGTTCTAAATATTCTAAACCTGATCAACAATGAGCTCTAACGACCAACGTCAAAAAAATTACAAACACCGTGGTTTGGACAGTGAAGAATTGCGTAAACGTCGTGAAGGGTTAAATATAACATTGCGTAAACAAAAGCGAGAAGAACAGGTAAGCGACATATTGCCCATTTGTTTGGTAGAAATATTAATATAATTTTTTTTATTCTTAAGCATTTCAAACGGAGAAATTTAGCTGGTAATGACGATGTTGCTGATGGAACAGATAGTTTTGGTGTAACAGGAGATGGAACAAGACAACCTGGAACAAGTGAACCAGTATGTCTTGTTAATAGTTTTAGAAAAAGAACACATTGGTCTTTTCGGTTTAGGTAATAACAAGTCAGATGGTTGCTGCATTATACGGCGATGATCTACAACAAATGTTGGATGCAACAATACGTTTTAGAAAACTTCTGTCAAAAGGTAAGCAGAACATTACTCTTCTCTGTAATAACCGTTATCTGTGTTCATACTCTATTTGTTGATCTGTAGTTTTTTGTTTTCGTACGTCTTTCTACCTACAAAGCAAATTGTCTCATGAGGCTAAGTGATTATAACATTTATTAACTTCTAGAACCAAACCCACCTATTGACGAAGTAATAACAGCAGGCATTGTCCCTCGATTCGTTGAATTATTGAAATTTCAACATTTCCAAATACAGGTATGTATACATTTTTGCATATCTTATTTAATCTTTTTTCAAGTAATATCGTACTGAACATCGTTTAGTTTGAAGCTGCGTGGGCATTAACAAATATTGCATCTGGCAATTCAATGCAAACAAAATATGTTATTGATGCTGGTGCTGTACCAGTGTTTGCTTTACTATTAAGTAGTCAAAATGAAGATGTTCAAGAACAAGTAAGTATCGATGTTGTTGTTTTTTCTATTTCTTATATCGCTTGTTTTTCTTTTTGTTATTTAAAAGGCTGTTTGGGCACTTGGTAATATCGCTGGTGATAGTCCAGAATGTCGTGATTATGTTCTTGATACAGGAGTTCTTCAACCATTATTAAAGTAAGTTTACGATTCAGAGTACGATGAACTCTTGTTTCACTGGCTCTGGCTCTGATATTCAATCATTATTGAGAAATATAACCATGGTTGTCTGCTGATCATAAAGACTTTCCTCTTTTCTAGTATATTTGCTCGTAATACTCGTTTAACAATGGTCCGAAATGCTGTATGGTGTTTATCGAACCTATGTCGTGGAAAAAATCCAGCTGTTGATTTTAATAAAGTATGACTATATAAAAAGCCTTTTACTTGTTCAATCTATTCTCTCCTTCTAGGTTGCACCAGCCTTACCTGTTCTAAGTCGTTTACTCTATAATTTGGATAGTGATGTACTTGCTGATACATGTTGGGCAATATCTTATCTATCTGACGGTCCAAATGAAAAAATACAAGCCGTTATACAAGCTGGCGTAACAACAAGACTCGTCGAATTATTAGCGTATGTATACAGCACTTCACTAAAACCAGAAATATTGTTTTTATCTTGCTAATTATATTTTTCTTAGGCATCCAATATTAAATGTTCAATCCTCCGCTTTACGTGCTGTTGGAAATATTGTTACTGGTGATGATATGCAAACACAGGTTGGTTTCTCAAATATTCATTTATAAAATTGATACCATTTGAATCAGAAGTCGTATCTTTCTGACCAGAAAACAGAATATTGTTTGCTGTAAAACTATGCAGGCAGAAGAATACTATAATGTGATGCTATTGTATGGCAAGATTATTGTACATTTCCTACTTTGTTTTAGCTTGTATTAGATGCTGGTGTTTTACAGCATTTACTTACACTACTACAAAGTCAAAAAGAATCGATCAAAAAAGAAGCTTGTTGGACGCTATCGAATATAACAGCTGGTGTTCAAAATCAAATTCAAGTAAAAATATTGACTAGCAATAAAAAATAACGTATTTCCATTTAAATCTGTTTGTTTCTAGGCTGTGATTGATGCCAACATATTTCCATCTTTAATTAATATTTTAAAGCATGGTGATCATAAAACAAGAAAAGAAGCAGCTTGGGCCGTCACGAATGCAACATCGGGCGGTACACCACAACAAATCAAGTAAGATGGTAGTACTCTTAGTTTGGATATCGTATGTAATTAACTTATTATGTTTTAGATATATTATTGATCAAGGTGCTATTCCACCGCTATGTGAATTACTAAGTGTTACAGACGCAAAAATAATACAAGTGGCATTTAATGGTCTAGAGAATATATTAAAATTGGGTGCAGCTGAAGCAAAACGAATGAATGGACCGAATCCATATGCAGTGATGATTGAAGAATGTTTTGGTATGATTAAAGAACTTCATCAAAATTTTTCACAATCAGTCTGAATACTAAAAGATTGCTTAGAACAGTTAAAATCTTGACAGCTAGTACTTTTACTCAATGAATCCTAAAAGATTTTTTATCAGAAAAAATGCCAACACTTTTCCTATTTGGTTTATTTTTCTTGTTTAGGTTTGGATAAAATTGAATATCTCCAAAGTCATGAAAATATCGAAATATATCAGAAAGCATTTCATATCATCGAAACATATTTTGGTGTCGATGACGAAGAAAATGTTCCAACGGTAAGTTAATACCACAAAGAAATTTACACACGTTTTTGAACAATATTGGCTGCTTTAAAATAGACGGTTCATGATACTCTCATTCATAGTCAAAGAACCACTCAACAGATTTGAATAACAGCCTGTTTTAAAAGAAATTGATAGTTCTCGATTTGAGTTACTTAGCTTGTCTTCTTCATCAATAAGAGGAGTACGTTTGTGTTTCTATATACATTTCCGATGATAGTTGCTTATTGTTTGCATAAGGTAGTAGTAAAGATAGTCTCAAACTTGCCTCAATTTTCTGCGAGTATAATATGGAGTTTAGTAATCTTTATGATACGATCGCAGTTATCTGTCTGTCTTGCAACCAGTTTGTACTGACGTGTGCAGTGTATCTATAATTTGATAACAAAAATGCATTTGTTTCTTTCTAGCAAGGTGAATCTGGTGCATTTGAATTTGGATCATCATCATCTAATCCTAACGCAACATCGACGACAAATGGTCAAATAAATCCACAACAACAGCAACCCCCTCAACAGCAACAGCCACCATCACAGTTTCAATTCTAATTAACCATAAATATAGACAGAATTATTATTTGTAAAACAGTCAGGTTCTTCCTCAAAATAAAGAAAAAATACGTTTTTTTCCATTTCATTTTTTTTGTCTTTTGAAATAAAAATATATCTATTTTTTCTACGTTTAAGCTTAGAGAACAGATAATTATCGTTATCTCTGCGTATTTTTTTCTCCATAGGGATGTATAATAATAACCAAAACACACAGTATAGGAGGAGATCAGCCATGTTTAGATTTTTTTTATTTTAATTTTCTTTTTGCTTCTGTCTGTTGATCAACGTTTGTCTTACGCACACTAGACTCCCTTTCTTCTCTGCATAGCCAAGTGAATGGAATGATTTCGTTTATAAAACGAACCTAACTACTTTTCGGGTTCTTATCTCATAGCAAGCGTTTGTTTGCGTGTGCGTCGGCCTTCAAAAGGGTAGTGTGCATTTTGTTGATGTTGTTGTTATGTTGTGTTTTTTTGTTTCGACGTACAGTTTTTTTCTACTCTTTCATTTCTGCCTCTAGTACGATGGCCGACGACAAAAACATTTGCCCCGGTACTATTTGAAAAAAAAAAAAACTGAACTTCATTCTTGTACTAGTATATATTCTTTTTCCTTTTGTTTCTTTTTCGTTTGTTATTCTTATTATTTTCTTCATTTTTTTTTGTGGTCATTATAAACAACAGAAAGAAGAAAAAAAATCACGAAAAATTTTTTACCAAAATAAAGCAATACACAGCATACGATTTATCACATTGAACCTATCTTCGGATTCACAATATAGCAAAACTAAGTCGAAGTTTAGAGATGTTCAACAAGTTACTATTTTACTTAATATAAATGTAATGAACAACCAGATCTTTGAAAAAGCACATTTTAACTTCTTTAAAAAAACATGTCAGTTATTTGGTCTGATTTAAGCGTTATTAAAGAATATAAGTGGAAGTATATTCACTATAATATTCTATTAAATAATACAAAATTGATTTGTACGAATAGAGAATGAAAATGTAAGCTAAGATTTGCAACAAAATACAAAAAGAAATTCATTATTCCTAGTATATATGCTGTAAAATTACTGAAGTTGTGCAATCTGATGTTTTTAATGTTCATTTTCTTTGATTCCAATTTGTATCTTTTATTTGAGCTTTATCTTTCAATCATGTCGTGTACAGTTCAATTGATTTTGAGTTAGGACATAATTACACGTGGTTAGTAGATGCACGTCATATGATAGATAATCTTATCGTTCTTTACATATTTTGATGTTTTTCTATAAAGTAATGAGTCATGTTAAAAAAAATGTGCCAACACAAGTTATCTTTAACGTTTTCGCGTTACAATTTACCGTTACAATATACACTGATCTTCATATTTGTAACTAAAGATGTCGTAAGCCATATTATCTGGATGGATTAAATCTACTACTTAGAAGAAAAACTGTATTGTTTCATCTCTGGACTATTGTATATGTGTTTGATGTATTGAACGGGAGCACAAATTTGTTGACTATATATCCTTTCTGTCGATCTTTACAATTTGTATTTATTTCAGATTCTATGGATTCTGATCACGAAGAATTAGAACTTGTTAATACTGCTCTTGATTATACGAAGGTATGCCATTTATTTTAGTTTAAGCTTTATTCTTTCAGAATAACAGCGGAAATAAATCCATTATTGTATGTTAAAATTTAAACTATCAAAAATCATAAAGTCAATTTTATATGAATAGAGAAACTCGAACATCTTAGTTTTCCAGTAAACTGCTATGTATTTTCACTTACCTTCACGCTTATTTTTGTTACCTTTTTCTTTCTGTTTTTTTCATTCAAGTTATCGGCATTAAATCAACGTCGTCAAACAGAGAATTTAAATCACTTCTTATTAAATACTGTCCACTTTTTTAATACATTCAGTTCACAACTGGAAGAAAAATTTCAAAAATTAGAAACAAATTTACAGCGAATTGAAGCTGATTTTTCTATATTAGACTCAAAAGTAAGAATTTTGCTTCTCATCTTACAAGTTATTTATTTAAACTGTCAACGTTGTTTATTGAGCAATTGATTTAATTGTTTGTTTTTTTAGCTTCGTTCAACTCCTGGCTATCAGCCGCTCGATTTAATTGAGGTGAATGTTCCAGCGGTGACTGAAAATGTTCAGCAAGCTGTAGTTCCCACAACTGCAAATATTCCGGCTGCTCCACCATTACCGCCAGCAGGAGCATCTAATTCAACAAGTCCAGTAGCACCACCACCTCCTCCGGTATGCTTTGGTTTTTGTATGAGATGTTTTTGCCAAGTGATGATCGTCTGATTCGTTTGAAAACAAAGTTAAAATGATGAAGACTAATGGCGGATCCACGATTTTTAAGAAGAGAATGGAGTTGAGAAAAACACTACTTTCTGGCAGAAGTGGAGAGGAGGCGGTTAAGGAAAAAGTTGAGGAAAGAAAAGATGGTTTCTTCGAGATAAAATCGAAGGCGAAGATAGACGCCATCTTCGCTCTACTCCTAAAATCACTGCTGGTGGACATACCTTGAAAAGTTTTATTCAATTACGATAACAACTATCCAATGTGATTTGTTTAGTGAGATATGTTATCTTTGTCGACGATTAAAAAAAGTTCGTTAAGCACGATCACTATTTTGCATCTTGTTTCAGCCTCCAGAACCACCTCAAGTCGAAGCCGATCCAAGAATGGAGAAATACAAGAAAATGCTAGCAATGGTAGTTTCTTTAATTTTTTAAATCGACAAAATATCTTTAATAAATTATCTTTTTTAGCGTGTACCACCTCAAGGCGTTCGACAACAAATGGTAATAGATGGTATTGATAAAGAATTAATCGAGTATGTAATTCTGTGCGGTATTAGTAATATATCATTTACTAGTTATATGCTTTTCTAATTTTAGTGAGTTGATTAATCCCGATACTTGATAAAATATATGGGATAATATTTTTGATAAATTCTATTTGCGTTGTATAGATTTTATTCGGTTTCCTTTTCTTTTTTCTGTGAATTTTACTGAATGTAATTTGTTATATTTTTATTTAATTTTATTTTGCGAATACATCTGCTATTAGTTTCTCGAGAAAACTCTTAGATTTGTAGAGTATATAGTTTTTTAGCATCCTGTATTACTTAAAGTTTACATCGGATACCAGAGATCATCCATTGAGCCCCTCGAATCTGATATTGAAAGTAAATAGAGAGTATCAAGATGTACTGTATTAGTTGTATGTAGCGGTTTTATAAGTTCATTACAATCGTTTTATATTTTAGAAAAACGATGAATCCTCTTTTGAGTGATCCACAATTGAATGCGGCTATTTACTCCTCGACACCGCAAATAATTCATTCATTTTCATCAAAACTAAATTTAATACCTCCTAGTCATTTACCAAATAATCGTAATGATTTTATTGCAACTCTCGTATCCTCCATTGTGCCTAGCAATACGACTGATCGACAACAAAGTCTTATTGAAACATTAAAATATCAACAGCAAATTATTGGATCGAATTCAAAAAATTTAAATGCAAAACGACGAAAAAAAATGTCTCGAAAAAAAAATAAACAATTAACAAAACACATCAGACAATTACGATATGAAACAAAACAAGTACGACGAACAACAACCACTAACGATGAGGGTAAAACTCTCAGGTTTCTTATGCTAAAGAGTTGATTGTTTACTCCATTCATAAAGTACACAGTATCTGTGCACATGTCTATTTGTCGTTTTAGTTTCTACTGTTCAAACGTCAGCTGAATCTTCGCCTATAAAATCAAAAACAAAACGTTCTGAAAACTATATTGATTACATATTTATGCACGAATTATGGTTACAATATATTATGAAATTATTAGATGGTTTTCTAAATAATGATGATCTTATATTACAACGTCTGTCACAAGCTGATTATCATGGTGCCTTAATTAGCGTTTATCGTTCGAAAAACCCTACACTTGTTGGAAAAAAAGGTATTGTTATACAAGAAACAAAAAATATGTTGACTATTGTTGAAAAAGATAAAAATCAATTATGTTCATTAATTAAACGACAATGTTTATTTCGTCTTGAAATTGGAGAGAAAACAATTTATTTATCTGGTGTAGCGATATCTGTTCGTCCAGAACAACGAGGAAATAAACGTTCAATGGCTATTGATTATATGAGAGAATTTTGTTAAATGTCCTCATGTTGTTAATAAAAAGTATGTAATGTTTCTTTATCTTTTAATTGACTTGAGATTTGTGTTGTGATACCAATATTTGTGTTTATGAACACATCTATTCTGACTATGAAAAAAGAAAAGACCATGGAGGTCGTATCATGAAGAAAGTTAAGGCATCGACTTAACTAAGCCTAAACTTAAGTTTTTTTGTGGTATGGCCCCATGGTTTATGGCGTATTGAGTAACCAGTCAGCTATGCTTTATTAATTCCATCGTTCTCTTGTAGATGTCTTGGTCCAAGTGATAACTGTTCCACGTTCTATAACATATTTCAGTTATTCTGACCAATATTATACTGGCATCCAATTGGAACGTTCAATGTTTAAAAAGTATTTTGCTGTAGATGACTATTAATCATGATATACTACTGGTATAGATGTTTTATCTCCTACAGATAAAAATTCATAATACTGTCCATTTTCATTACTTTCATTGTAATGGTCAAGCTTCAAGGCGAGCATATGCATAAATTATCTTTAAAATTCCATATACGATGATATTGTTTATCAGGAATATACATCTATATCATTTTGAAGTGGTGGATGACATAGAATTCACGCAAGCTAATGCTGATATACTATTTTTTAGTAAAAGATCATCATCTATTACCTACATTAATTACAAAACCTGCACAATTTTTCAGTATTTACAACGATTATGTGTCGAGTAGTGATGGAGCTGGAAAAGCGTTGTCGTATTAAAACATTGAAATTAAACATTAGTACAGAGTGAATCATTAACATCATTATAAATCGAATATCTATATCATTCGAAAATAACTGTTTATAATTTGGCAATTCAATGTTTAAATCGTCGAATCTGAGCAATGTAAATGATATTACTAACATCCAAAGATCCCAAAACTTTTGTGGTATCATTTGTCCGTTTCAAGCCTAAGTCTGTAAAGGTCTATGTAACATTAACTGTGCTAAAGCTTTTTTTCATAGAATTGCTGATCGGATATTTTTAAAAGCTTTTCCTGTTAGTGTGTTGTTAAATAAATCACTGAAGTCTAAAATCTTTTCGTATATGTTGAAAATAGACTTCAATCAATCCATTATATAAAGCTGGTGACATTCGATTGGCCAACTGCAGACGTATAATCCATGTTTCTGTTAAACATTTTTAAACGATTCAAGTTTCAAAAAAAGAACAAAAAGAAATCGATGGCAAAATTGCAAAAAACAAAACAAAACAAGAAAAGAAACACGAAAAATATAGAATATATTTACGTATGAGCGATATTTACATAATGAGATTGAAAAATGCTGTTTGATATGCGAAACTTTTTACTGTCGGATTTACTGATCCACTCCATAACTGTTCTTATTTAAAAAGTTCCACTGACTACATTTTTGTTACAGTTAGACACTGAAAACATGTATACATTACTTCTTAATGTACGCCTATCTCTTTTCAATTTCAATAAATGAATCTAAATAGAGCTGATCTTCCTGTGACAAATTTCCATAAACAATTGATACGGGCTATCTTTCGACGATGATATAACTATCGAATACTATGCATCCGTACTCAGGTATCGGTTACACCCACGTTGTGTACATATGTTTTGTAATCTGGAAGAGATCTTCACGAGTTATTCTGTGAATAGTAGCAATCATTTTTGTATACCTTAATGTTGTTTACTCTATGTAATATATCTATTCCATATTGTAGAAAAATAGAGACCTAAAAGTTATGTGAGATATTCTAAGCGATTGTTTATTACCTAATTTTATCATAAATGGTGAAAGAAATACTGATGACTAATGAAAACGCAGTCAATAACACTTTTTGATGTTTAACTCAACTAGATTCATCTAACAGCATAACTTTATTTATCTACTCCTTTTCTGACATAGTCTAAATTATCGTCATTACCTATTATATAGGTGCGGCACAAAAAAATCATCAGTGAATGTAGACATTATTGTTGATTCAAATTATTCTATCATATCATTTATAAATATAATAAGATGTGGTGATCCTAATATTGGACTCTGTGGCACTCCCGATATGACAGAAACAAAATCAAAAAATATATTATTTATTTTTATTTGTTGTGTTCGTTTATTTACATATGATTTAGACCCATCTCATTCGTATTTTGTGATTTGTCAGTGAGAGGTTTATAGTTTACTAATATATCACCCGTCTTAATTTGTCTATCCATCATGTATACCAATACATAGATTGTTGACGATTTTGTACGTAAAATTTGTAGAAGAAAAAATTATGTTTATTTAAATATGAGACAATTCTGTCGAAAATGATGCGTTGTAATACTTATATCAGGACGAAGAAAAATATGTCGATAATTAGCTACACCTGATCTATGATCTTTTCATAAATAGTTATTATTGAATTCTCCCACAGTGATGAAGACTATCGTGATGACACAACAATTGGAAATATGATACAAGTTGCGATGAAATGATTACGTTAGTCACCTTAAGCTATTGTTCTATGATTTATCCTGAAAAAATATTTCCGTTTAAGTGAACTGCAGCGTTGTGTTTGACTTGTGATTCCTCGTATTTTTCCTTAATTCGAAGAACGAGAAGGTTTAGGAATATGTTAGCTGAGTTTGAAGATCTGAAATTCCTATAAATGCAAACCGTACACTTGGTATAAACGTTTCACGACTAAAAATTCGTTTCTTACAACCAATTAGTGATCTTATTATCCTCAAGTTCTTGCAAAAGTACTCTTGCTATTACAGAGACGCAAATAACGGGAGGATGTGGGAGGATGCGCATCCCCGAATAATTGAAAAAGCTGTTGTTATTTTATCTATTACTCCTCGCACAAGGTTTTTTTATCAATTTCACACTACCTCAGAGAAATGTTGGTTTACAACCCCCCTAATGTTCGGCTCCTATTTGCGGCCCTGTGCTATTGTAGTATAAGTGATATAACATTCGATTAGAAACTATACTCGCAGATACTCATTTTTATACTAGCCATATTCTAGTTCGCAATAAATTCCTCGGTCAACAATCTGTTTCATGTCTACACGTGTCATATCCACATTGAGAACAGATTTCTATGAGTTATGAATTTTTCAATTTTTAACAAAAATAACTTATAAGAGAGAGTTACTTCGTCTAACGTAAGTTTTCACTAGGTTTTTGAAAACTATGTCGAATAAAACAAGTGTGTTTTTACACAATCCCATGAGAATTTACGTTTCCATCACTGTATTAGAGTTTTGAAATTAGACTTGGAAGCGAATGTATCTTTTCAAACTGAAACATTAAAAAATTGTGAAGAAACAAAGTGTTTATATTGCAATACTTTTTATTGGTGTATCTTTAAGATTAAGCACCATCATTTTTTGTGGTGATGATAGTGGTGTTCGTTGTTCATCTAGTTTTTCATAAATTTTTAATAAACGCATATCGGGATTTTTTAATGATTTCCACGGATGTATAATTCTTTCGGGATATCGATTAGCTTCTGTACGACGTAAACGTAATTCACGCTGGAATTAAAAGACGCATAAAGATAGAATAAGTAGAGAAGAAAATGTTTCATTTTTTAAATTTTTTTTTTTTGTTTTTGTCACCTCAGCAATTTGAACTTTTCTTTTCCAAACTGCAAATTGCCGATGTAAATTCAATTGTTTATATTTCAAATTAACATAATCATTTATACTTGGCACACGATAACTAACAGTCATTTCACGTAATGGTTCATTTATTTTTTCATAATCCAGAATTTCCTAAAAGTATGACATTAAAATGAATATATGATCATAAAAAATTGAATATAACTGATATACATCTTCCATTTTCTTTTTAAGTTCATTGTAATGTGTAAGTTGTTGATTTCTAATAGCTATTTCATCTCGAATTTTTGTCAAAGCTTTTAATTCTGTGAATAAATGAGGCTAAAATATATCATTACGTATGCATAGATCAAGAACAAGTGAACTTTCTTCTTTAAAAATCAAACAATTATAATCATAAAAAAAATAAATATAAGATGAAGATAATATATACTTTTTTTTGCATTTAAATTCATGTTTGCATCCGATTGTTGACGTTTACAAAATATTAATGTTTTATTTTTTGCATTTAATTCACGTAATTGTTTTTGGATTTCTATATGTAATTGATCAAAATCAACTTCCGTTACCGTATCTACAAGTTGATGAACCTCAAAAAAGGCGGATAAACGAATTTTTTATTCTTCAAAAAAAAAAATAATAAAAAAACAATATCCTAAAAGATGATAATACTTTTTTGATTGATTTTTCAATACCATCAATATTAAAACGAAGACGAACACTTTTTTGACTTTTCTAAAAAAGTAGAAGAGTGCAAATTATGGATGAATTATTGTTGTACTAATATAAATAAAACTTACTCGTTCTTTCATGGCTTCCTAAAAATAATGATAAACAATTTGTTCACTAAAAAAATAGTAAAGAAAGACTAAATTATATGCTACAGAATAAAAATGTTAATGAAACTAACATGATATCGTATTCGATCTTTGAAATATTCAATTAATTCTTCAGCAGCTATTTTCTTTTGTAAAGTTTTTGCATCATGATGAAGTTTTTGAATAAATTTTTCCAATGCTAATTGTTCAATTTCTAAATAAATTATATTCTCTTCATTTGTTTCTAATAAATCCTACAAATAATATTTTTAAATAATTAATTTTCAAAAATTCTTGTATATAATGCAAATAGTTTACCTGACATTCTTCAATATATCTAGTTGAGTTAATACTATATTTTTGACTATAAGCCAATAAAACTTTGAAACTCACTTCGGCTATTTCACGTTTCTTTTCATTTGTCAATGGTTGTCTACTACTACGTTTAAGAATTTGATGAGGAATATATTTTTGAGTATCTAAAAAAATAAAAGTTGTTTTTATCTCTATTTTTTTAAATTCAACCTAAAGATCTTTGTACCAGATGTTGGTGGTACTGATTGATCAAATAAATCAGACAATTGATTTTGAACAATTTTTTGCTTGCACCACCATTTTAAATAATTGTATAATAGACGATTTTCAGCTCGAAGAAATGTCAATTGTTCACTAGAAAATATCGAACAGTACTCTTTCTTATTAAGAAGTCTATTATTAACATCTATATAAAACGAACTTTAATTTTTTCATTTTTTTCTTTAGAATAGGCGATGGAACATTGCCAATATCTTCTTTTTGTTGTTCTTCATAAATTGTTTTATCATAATCATCAATAATAGCCGAAATATTTTCCGATAAATCTTTAAAACGAAATGCTTCGATCATATTATGATTGCTCATTTTGATAATGAGTCTAAGACTCGATACGTTTAGACAGTTGATTCATCTATTTATAACATTTAGCGCGAATGACATAAACAATATTGAAGGATCAAGCTTTCTAATTGTAGCAATCATATGTCTTAACTTAATTTATGATAAATTAGATCATATGCACATTTTCATTAGGTTTACTTCAAATTAAGTAGTTTTGTACATTTTCTGTATACTACATAAAAAGATCCGATATGGCTTACGTTTTAATGTTCTTGTCAGAAAAATTTATTGCTTTTTGTTAACGTTACTTAGCAAGAAGATCTTGTTTTTCCATGAAATGAGAAATTTCACCAAGATTACTAGAGAAAGTTTATCAATAAACGATGAGAAAGATCGAACTTTTTTGATATTTTTTTGTAGTTCAAATTTTTTTCAATGTAAAATGCTATCGAAAACACCGTCAAAAATCTACACTTTCAATATCAGCTACAAATGATTTTGGTTTCGCTTCATTTTTTAAATACATTGACAAATAAGGCACTATAGCAAATTTATCTTATGTTTTGTATTGAGTTGAGAAAGATTTTGGACACTATTGCGATACTACAAATATTCAACATTTTTAAATAATATGAGAATTTTTCGAAAAAACATTTGGAAGAGACGAAATGGATAATTCCAAGCGTGACGGAATTTCATTTTTTTGCATTCTGTGATTCATAACGCGCGAACGGTGACAGCAAACCTTCCAAAATTTTTATCATATGTAGAAAACCATGAGTTCTACTACCAAAAAATAATTCATTGGAATTAGTTGAGTCATACAAAAGTTAATGGAAAAATAGAAGACGTAGCGGAATTTCAAAAAATGAAATTTATTTTTGAACATTTAGAAACTTTTGCAATTTTCTTCAGATTGTGCAGCACAACAGATTACGGAATCAAATAAAAATGCCAAAATACCCTTCGTGATAGAATTTCATCCCTTTTTTGTATGGTTTCATTGCAGACGGTTAAACTCAAAGGCTCTAAATGACTTTAAAACCTGTTCTAAGCATCGCAACTTCGAAAAACGTATGCCATTTTGTAGAGAATTGAATTCTTTATCGATTAGCATAGCTCTAATTTTTTTTCAAGAAAATGTTCAGGTGAGGAAATTTAAATGACAAAATTCTAAAAAATTTAAATTATTACTTCTTAAATTTTAATTTTTATAAATTTTAAAGTTGATTTTCGTGATCAGCGTGAAAAACTGCATCCTGTAATGTGCCTCTGGATTTAATTAGGTAGACAACTTTTTTGAACTTTCTAATTTGACGGGGGGGAGGACCGTTAGCTGGCCACGTCGTTATGATTTATTTACAAAAAAATTTAAACAACCGGCGAGTATTTTGTGTGAAATAAAGTTGAAAATTTCCAACCATATAATTCTTTTTATGTAGAAATTGATGACTTAACCGGAAAGAAGTCTGTGAAATTGAAAACTTTGTTCGATTTGTTATGGAATTTCAAACAATATTCTTTGTCCTCATTGTTTGTTCTTTCTCGTTCTTATTAGTTTTTGTTCGTTTAAGAATGAGTATATATTTTTTTGCATTTGATTCACTTATAATAAATGTTAATATAGTAAACATTAAGGTGATATTCGAATAGGTTATAATTGAAATTATGTGTTTTCTTTCGTTATCTCTGTTCTCAGATGGCTTTACCATATGTCATGAGCTCGTAAATAACATTATTAATTTTGATTCAGCTTGCGTCTGGTATTTGTACTTAAGAAATTGTTTCATCGACATTTCTAATATTTCTAATTTGTAAAATTACTGTAGTTGTTAACTAAATGTATAATCGCTGAAGTTGATTTGTTAGATTCATCTTTTTCGCACACGATCATAGATTTATTGAACTAATTTATTGATTTCTCATAAAAACTAGTAAACTTTTGTACGCTAGTATATATAAATCATGCTCTTCTTCAAACTTGTCTATAAACGACAAAACTTGATTGAATTTCTATGCAAGTGCTAATGTATATAAAGAGTGAATATAAATCATGGACGTACAACACGAATTGTACTGTTAAATCAGACCAACAGAAAAAACGAGAGTACACCGACTTAATGACAAAAAACTTAGATAAACGCCTATCAAATAGATTCTATTTAAACACGGTCATAGTAACAAAGAAAATTTTATTTCTATTTTTTGCTTCAAAATATTATGATCAATAACATCTTTTCTATGAGTGACACATTGACATTTGACATTGTTTGTATTGCCGGTTGTAGTAGACTAAATTTTCGTCTAAAATACGAGCTAAAAAGTAATAAAGTTTAAATAAATCTTCAAATAAGAGTGTATAAAAATTTACTATTATCATCAACTAGGTGAGATATTCACATCTACAACATAACATCGAGATTCAACATTTTCAACATGGAAGTACTTTGACTTTTGTGCTAATTAAAACTAATAATCATCTCTATTGTTTTACTTCTGTTTATATGAAGAAAAAAAAAAGAGAACGGAAAGCGAAGAGCTATGTGTGTGTGTGTGTGTGATTTTAAAAAAAAAATGAAGAAAAAAACCCGTCTTCTATAAACATTTAGACAACACGTGATACTCTAGGTCCTCTTTATCCTTCTTTAGTTCAGTGTATAGTAAATAGATTAAATAAATTAAAATATCTAAGACAAGAAAAAATGCTATTACAAATGACATCAAATCGTAAGCAAACCAACGAAATTAATAATTTTTACGTGTCGACAAAAAAAAAAATTGATTTTTGATAGTTTACACAAAATCGCGGAAAAATGAAGAACGGACATGCGTATAAAAACTTTTTTATCGACAGAGTAAAATAAAGAAAACAAACTAAAGTGTTCAAATCTTACTGATGGAAAACTCTTTGTCTCTTTCTCCATAAAAAACAACAACATATTATCATCGTATCACTGTGGAAGTAAAGAGAAAAAAAGAAAATGAAAATGAGCCGATATACACGTACAACAAGCCACATGACAAAAGAGAAAACATATCCCATTTTTTAAATCAAAAAAATACGAAAACCTAGTCATATTGCTGAGTTATTTACATTTAGTTACAGAAATAAGGACATATGCAATAATTTTAGTAGTATAGTAAACTGTGAGAAATCGATGCATGACAAGCAATTTTGAATTCTCACCAAGTTCACTATAAGTTCATGGGTGATCCGTCTTCAACTATGAATTTTGGCTTTTTTTATTCTAATTAACAACAGATAATAGACACTCACAATTCTTTTATACATTTGAAAAAGGATAATAGAGACGAAGAAAAGAAAAACAAACAACAAAATCTCACGTTTGTAAATAACATGATTTGGCATCAAGTATGTTTGTTCGTACCAATTAGTCGATAATAATTTTTCATGTTTTTTACTTCGAACCGGCACAACATGTTCCACCGTTTGCACCATTTGTTTGTCCTGATGTAACAGTAATTGGTTCACTTCGAATTGGTCCTCGTGTTTGTTCAGGAGTTTTCGGTAATTTTTTTGCAATAGCCATAAATATATCATTAACATTCATAGCAGTTTTCGCCGATGTTTCCATAAATATTAAACCGTTTTCTTCAGCATAGGTCTGAGCATCTTGAATTTCAATTTGACGTTTTTGTGCTAAATCCGCTTTATTACCAGCTAATGCAATAACAATGTTTGGTGCAGCTTGACGTTGTAACTCCTTAACCCATACTTTGGCACGACTAAATGTATCACCATTTGTTATATCGTACACAACAATTGCTGCTTGAGCACCACGATAATACATGGGAGCTAGGGAATGATATCTAAGCGAAAGAGAAAACAACATAAATATTTAACAATAATGTTGCAATTTCTGAAAAATAGCAGGATAGTCAGCTTTTCTGGAAAAATCTCAAATTCAATCAGATAAAAACAGTCAGTAACTATTTTCTTATCCTTTTATGTCATGATAAAAACACACATGACTTACACTTGACATTCCTGTCATTGCACACTTTATGTAATGATAGATGGTTAGCTAAATTTTATCGTAGAACTAGCATTTGTTTCAAAGAGAAATATACAATGCTAGAAAATCAGAAGTTTACAGCCTCTTAGACAATAGAACAATTGAATGTTACTAAGTGTGCAAGATAATGACAACGGTGCTCTCTTTTGATACAGTAACAATCATAATATGGATCCTATCCTGCTTTATTTCTTACTTCTCCTGTTGAAAAGAATGAAAATAAATTTGCGAATGTGAAAATATTCACCTTTCTTGTCCAGCTGTATCCCATAATTCTAACTTAACAGTAGTATCATCTACGCAAACAGTTTGAGTTAAAAACGCTGCACCAATTGTAGATTCTTGATATTCGTGAAATTGTCCTTTTACAAAACGTAACACAAGACTGGATTTCCCTACAGCCGATTCACCTAATAACACCATTTTAAACTGGCATGTTCGGTTTGGACCAGCACCATTTGCTGGTTTGGGTTGTGCTCGACTCATTTTTTGTTGTTTAAGGTTAGTTTCGGAACTTAAAAACGTATAGATGTGCGTAAATAGAAATGAAAAATAAGAATAAAATATAAAATTAGGAACTACTAATTGCAATACGAGTTTTTTTGAGGTTTATAAATTATTATCAATCTAAAATGAGACATAACCATACAAAGATTATTATTTGATCAAGTCAAGTCGCCGACGTACAAACAAATGAATCATCAACGTTATGTGTCTGTTTTCACGTGTTTTTCCCATAGGTAACGAAAAAAGAAAGAAAAACATTATTAAAACTGTTTCACAACAAAATTCGATACAAAAAAAACTTATTGATAATCGAGCAAATATTGTTTGCTTCATTTCTTTCGTACATAGAAAAAATAACTATTAATAATCGTACGACATAACCGACCATTTTGTCAGCATCAGATCCTTAGCTCTAAAGAAAAGACTATTATCTATTGATTACAAAAGCAGAAGAAATGAACGATTATGATCAAACGATAAAGTTTGTTGCAGTTCAGTTTAATCGGTTTTTTAAATTCTCAACGGATCAAATAAGTTGACGGATGCATTATTGCTTTGTTTTTATGCGGTGAAGTCTAAACAGCTTATTCTAATTGGTCGATTAAAAGCAAATCACCTATTTAACATCATCAACCAGCTGCTTCATCATTACGTATATCAGCTGATCGGGCACTGTTATATTAAAAGTAAATAAAGAGAATTTGTGCTCACATGACTGCAAAGACCATCTATACTCTATGCAGTTGTATTTAATGCGTGCTCTTTACAATTGTAGATTATACGTTAAATATAAATTAGAGGGTAGGAGCAGAGTTTCTAATAGTGAATTGTACTCATGGAAACAAATTATAAAGATTAGTGAATGAAAAAGAGTTAACTGAATACAGATTAGATGTGATTTATTTTGCGTTGTAAACTTTTTTTATATTTTACGTCGCTTCTCATGTGAAGAACAGTCAGATGCTGGAAACTGTTATCTTGTTATGCGAGAGTCGTAATTTTTTTCCGCTATATAATCTGTCATTATTTGTATGTGTCATGGATATTTTAAAAAAGCTCATAGAAACGGACCTTTAAAACGTTCATGTTTGACTGTTATGGCTTTTCAGAGCGTTTATACTTTGTCTAGTCTGCGAAAAGGAAGACTATACAAAGTAGGCGTAACAAAATGTACCTGTTAAATCACTGACAACGTCTGATTTCAAATGCTTTTTAGCCTCAAGAAGAACTAATTGAAGATTAAGTAGAGATTATAAATAACAATTTTGACGGCTGTTAGAAATTAATTATACACTCATGGGTCATGCTTACAAAAATCAATGCTTACATTTTATTTGTTCTGTTTTAGAAGTGTTCACATTGTATTAATGGGTAATTGTTGGAACTCACATATAAATAACGATGATAGAGGTGCTTTATTACCTCCATTTTATTATCCTTCATCTTCAACATCACGACAGTCAGTCGATAATGTTTATTCTGAAACTGGTTTAATTGGGACCATAGCAAATGTACCAAAAGTATGTAACTCTTAACACGTTTTTTTTAATGACAGTAGGCATACTGAAATTTTCGTTTTTTTAGTTGATCGTACGTAATCGTTTGGGTGCTCTAAATGCTTCTACAAATTATACAGACATTCAAACAGCACAGCGGAAAAATATGATTGAACATCATTTACCAATAGTTAAATACGATGAAAAAAGAATTAAACAGTCCGAGTATGTTACATGGAGATTTTTCATCTTTTCTGTTAATCGCTGATATGCTGAAGCTATTTGTAAGCGTTCGACAGCATTCGTCGCTTAACATGATTCAAATTCTACCCTGATTTTAATTAATTATTGTTTGCAATGCCTTGTTAAAGCCGCAATATTTATTCTATTTCAGTTGTGCAATATGTCTTATTGATTTTGAACAAAATCAAGAAGTTCGCCAATTACCATGTTCACACGTTTATCATCAAAAATGCGTTGACGAATGGTTATTAAAACAATTTGTTTGTCCATCGTGTCTTACACATGTGGATGCTGCATTACTACTACAATTCGTGCCAAATAGTTGAGTTATTTCAGATTTTATTTGTTTTGAGTACGTTAAAAAGAAAAGAGATTCGTCGTCTTTTCTTTCCAAATGAGCTCTTTGTTGATAATTAAAAAAAACGCTATATTACTGCCATTGTCAGATTTATTTTTTAGAATTAGAAGCAGGGGTTTCTGTGTCAATGTGCTAAATATCTATATGTATAAGAAACAACTGGATAAGCTTTTGTGTTGTATTGTCGAGTGGAGAGCAAGAGAGAAGAAGGTTTAGCATAACTGTTTTTATGTGTCTGCAATTGTACATATATACTCATAATCTACTATGCTCACTTCTCGCATCGGTTACATCTGCATACTCCTGTTTGTGATATGTGTGAATCTTTTTGTACAAAACATTTTTTTATTTTTTATTTTTTCTCATTTTGTATTTCTTTTTAACTTTATCATTTGGATAGAGTAATTTACTAACGATGACTAATGGCAGTTACAGGACGTATATATAATTTCATCAAAACAGTGTTTATGTTACAAGTATAATTTTTTTAAAGGAAACATTCTTTTTCTCTGCAATGTTTTTTCTGTTGTTGTTTCATTACCATGTTTGTTACAGATAATTTAGTTTATCTTATGTTTGTGTGTATGCTACTTTTCTACACTAACTTTGAGTAAAAATATAAGTTTGGATACCAAGTATATGCAAAGCATCAGCTCAGTTGGTATAAGGATTAAACAATCCTATTTAAAGATTATAATCGCGGCGTGATAACGATGAATATTGGTTAGTCAATATATATTTGTTAGAATCTTGTCGACGTATTTATTTTCTTTTTTAATTATCGAACGCTAGGATGTAACGACGTCATCACATTCACACTCATCCGTTAGTAGTCAAAGCAACAAAATGGTGATATTCTGAAATACTAGAACGATCTGAGATCATTTCCTTTTGGATTGTATTCGTTTGAATTATAAAAGATAAATTAACGAACCTAATTATGTATTAAAATGAATTTTCAAATCTTAATGTCTTGGGCCCTAATGACGTTGCGTTCTGGCATCATTGCGCCTCATCGTCGTCCGCGTCCTATAGTCAGTATACCGTTCTTGTCAAGTTATATTTGTGGGCATTTTGCGTTACGTAGTTATCGATCAGATTGTTAGCTCTGATCATGAATGTGTCTCTTCAACTAAACTCTCCTCTCATTAGTCTCTACTGTTAATTTCTAAAAGAGTAAAACTGTAAAAGTTGGTTTGTACTAAAATAGTAAAAATTATGTCTTAAATTGTTAAACAGTTAGTCAATAATCATTGAGAAACTATTAAACATTTGATTTATATTTAAAAAGAGATGAGATTTTCTAAGAACATTTTTTCAACGAAGCAAGAGGTTAAAATACCAGATCATGATTTGATAGAAATACTGTTTGACAGTTTCCATCAGACATTCTGTTTCATTCTTCATCCAAAATTTATGAGCCTTTTCTCGAGAGCTTCAAAGCATATCATCAGAACAAAAAAAACTAAAGTTGGCTTTGAGTTTCGAAAAAGTGCTTTTCGTATCCACCATACTCGATAACACAGAAGAATTTCTATCTTTGGCGAAGGGTATTTCTGAAAGTTTAGGAAAATTTTTGAAACAAAATGGCGCAAGAAAATTTGCATAGGAAAATGATATATGTTTGAAAATTTTTCCTAAACTTTTGGAAGTAACCTCAGCACAAAACAGAAAATCTTCTGAGTTATCGAGTGTACTGAATACGAAAAAGCATTTTTCAGCAACCCCTTTGGGCTCAAAACCAACTTTATTTTTATTCCGGTGATATGAATTCGGTTTGAATAATTGCATCGTTCTTGCATTCAGATTACTGATTATAGAATTCTTATTCGTTTTAAAATTTTATTAGAGCAAATATTTTCTACAAAAGAGTATGTTGCACGACTTTGTGTGATGTTTTAAAAAAAAGTTGTGAGCAGAGTTACCAGATGGTCCGCTTTCTGTGGTTTTTTCCGGAATTTGTCCGCTTTTCGAGGATTTGTTCTTTTTGTTCTTCTTCTTGCAATAAAGACTTTTACATTTTCTCATAAAAAGTTTACCGCCTTCGGCGGCTGAATGATCTGTCAAAAAAATGCGTTTGCAACTTTTACAAAACAGATGCGCACTGTTTTCGGAACTAAATCAGAAATTTGCCCCGGAAGTGAGCGGTAACAGAAAAACATTAGTTTGTCTCAAGTGCTGTTGAAAGGGAGTACGAAAAATAGTGAAATACTAAATCTTCAAGGAAGCCAACTCGGTCAGAAAATCTTAACCATTAAGTGCTGTTATCGGTGGGAAAGTTTCGAATTAAATTTTATCCTGCCATACATAACTCTTGAAATTTATGACGGCTGATCAAAAACGCGCATCCACAAAAAGCCAATATCGATTCAAATTGGGATTTAAATGATGTTTTGTACTTCTTTTGTGTTCTTAAGTGGAACCGCCATAAAGTGCTACAAAAAATATTTTTTGATACCTCGTTGCGTTTGGTGAAAAAGGCGTTTCCGCTTCATTTCGGCATTTTGGAAAAAAATTTCCGCTTTTCTGACCTAAGCATCTGGCAACTCTGGTTGTGAGCCTTTAGCTAAGTGCTCTACTACACGTACAAAGTTATAATGACCAAAGGTTAAATTGTTGAAAACAGAGTGCTGATACATAATGTGATTTTGAAAAGTGATATAAAATATCATATGTACAATCAGCTGAATGAAAATGTTTTTGATTATTTACCACTACGTATAGTGAATTACATCAAAGCAATCACGGCAAAGATCGAAACGGGGCGGATCTGGATAAACAAAAAATGTGAAAAAACGTTCAGTTTTAACGGCAGTACTACGCCATTAATTTATCTATATCACACATTATGCTCTTTATATATTAGGCGCAAGTCTATATGAATCACAATAGTCTTTTCTTTTATCTTTTACTTCTCGTTTTTTTTCTTTCGGCATGCTAAATGATTGTGTCTGTTGATGCAATGAAGAAACAGTTGATATAAATGGATGAACATTTCCAAATTAAAATCAACATTTTCCGTTACACTAAAAAGAACATCCTGTTTCGTCTATTTCCGTCGCTCTCTCACTCAATCAAAAGAGGTAAAGAAAAACAAATTATAGAAAACGAGACAATGAGTGAAACAGTAATTTTGAATTTCAGAAAAACATTTTCATTTCCGGAGCAAGTATAGGTCATAGCTCTACGATCCGTTTATATCTGTGAATCACATACGTTTTGATGAAAATCAATTTCATTCACAAGAGAACACAGCAAATGACTTTCTATGGAGAAAACAGATTTATAATGGTTGAACGTTATGAAAAAACATAATCCAGTTGTTAAACATATGAGGAATACACATCTTTGCCGTAACCAAATTTCAGTGCGACTGTGATTGTTAGAGTATAGAACGAGATGGTATCAATCAAAAGGATTCCAGCTCTTTACTACACAATGGATCGGAACAGGAAAGCTTTTTTAGTGGAGACAGAAGAGCATGTTTTTTGATGCAATGGAACTTACTGTCAGTTTTGACATGAGCATTAGTTTTTCAATAAATCAGAATCGATATATATGTATGATGAATCTTGTTTTCTCCATGCTGAAGTTTGACATATATGAGTGATTTGCATAGTCATCGTACAGAACTGATTTACGCAATGCATCGCTTATAAAATCTGCTCCACTCAAAAGGGTTTTAATAATTGTTTTTAAATTTTGTTTGGTTTGACATAGAAATACAATTTGTGAAAGAATAATGCCATTTTTACTGGTTATTGCAGAGAAATGGCTCGAATTGTAGAAAACTTGAAGATTTTAACTCCATATATCTTCGCAAACTATTGTTCTAAAACTAGTATTCAAATGAATTTGTGTTCGAGTTTATAGGGATTTATAGCAAAGAATTTTGGGTTTCTGAATAGCTAATTAAAATTTCATTCGAACAAAATTTTATACAAAACACTTTCGTTGATATACACTTTTCGATTTTTATGTCCACCGATATTAAAATTGAGTTTCCTAGGCGAGCTTTTGATCTTTAGATCTCGGACTGCTGTCAGAAGATAGACAACTGGAAAGATGACTTTTTTGATAGGAAAGTTATTCCCGAAGTGTTACACAAAAGGAAACTGAAAGGCTATGACTTTCCAAAAAGTTCTACATTTTTATACACTTTGTCCACCGACATTTTGAATCGTACTACGGCAAGGACTTGATCAGGTCTCAGCTTATTATACACCAATTCAATCGTATTTAGAAGGAGCATCGAACTTTGTAAGGATATGCGTTGAATTAGGTCTAATAGATCTCGAAGATCTTGAGGTTCTTCATAAATCGCGTACAAAAGTCTTTCTAAATTTTTATCATCTGCAAACACTCAAAAAAATTTGAAAGTTTCGATTGATATCTGACAAGATTTCTGAAAGAACGCAAACAATTTTTCTATATAGCTTTACGCTTTTAGATAACAGAACACAATTGTTCCAGCATTAATAATAATATTTAGATATTTCCCTCTTTTTCTGTGTATACACCGCAAACTTTCAATAAGTCTCTTTTTATAGGAGCAAAAACAGAAAAATTTGATCTAGAATCACACCGTTTGAAATAAAAATATTTTGGTAACAAGCAAACTTTAAAATCAATGTTTTGCTAATTTAGGCTTGGATAAAAGTCTTTTTTCGTCAGCTATATAAGTAAGTATGGATAAAATAACATTTCTAAACTAAAAATAAATTAAATAAAAATAATAAATGATGAAGCTTATTCAGTATTGCAAGTAAATAAATATAAAAAATTAAAAGTATAGTGATTAATGCAACAGTTGTAAACTTCATACTTTATTTTATTTTATTAGTGATATTTCGACGGTCATTTTCAAATATAAACTAAGTGTACGAAAAACTGAACGCTGCCTTTCTTATTCTTTTTACTACAATGACTACTTTTACATGTGAATAGGAACGAACAATTTGACCATTCAAAAACTAGGACTATTCCTTCTTTTTATGTATGCGCATACAATGTACAGTTCTAGTGTTGGAATAGCTAAATTGTCCGTTCTTATTCACATGTAAAAGTAGTTATCGTAGTAAAAAGAATAAGAAAGGTAGCGGTCAGTTTTTTGTACACTTAGTTTGTATTTGCAAATGATCGTCTAAGGTCGAGATATCACTAATAAAATAAAGTATGAAGTTTACAACAAATGCATTAATCACTCTGTTAGTAATTGAAAAGTCGTTGTCTACACCATTAAAAAAGTTCAAAACATTATCAGAGAAGCACCATTTAAAAATTAAAAGAGAACCAAACAAAATTTTATCAACTATTTATAAAACTAAAAGATAAATACGAATGTTTTTTTTATCAGTGTTTCCATTACTTTGGTAAAAAAAAGAAAAATGTCATTTGGATAAATTAAGCGCTATCCCCGCCAAATACTATTCACTAATAATACGTTATCGTCAAGAAAAAACAACTAGTTATCTTACAACAGTACAATGTTAAGATAGACAGTAACACCTAAAGAAAAGTAACTGCAACCGAACGGTTAGTATCTAACAAAATTCTTCTTAAACTTAGTGGCAAAAACGAAATTTCGATTATCTTAAATGTCACTCAATAATTAAATACTACAACCAAGAAACGTGATATCACAAAAAGGATAGTGACACGTTCGATCTTGTTACTGTCCCTTCTTTTTTCTATTACTTGATGTACTTCTGGTTCATACTAATTATTCTGATAGAAGTATATTTACTAACAGAAAAAATCATTAGGTCATTCAAAGAATGAATTTTGATCCGTTTTTGGCACTTTGACAGTAGTGTAAAAGGTAATAAATATCAGAATTAGACAACGAGAAGAATTAGAAAATAAAGATGTATGAAAAAGGTTACTAAGAAAAAGTAAATAAATCATCTGTCACTTTATTTAGGATTAATTTTAATATTTAAATATTTTCGATAACCATACATATCATGTTCAATATCTTCTTTTCGAATATTTCGTTTTTGATAAAAGACTTCAGCTACTTCAGATGTTAATGGATCTAATTGTGATTGTGCACAAGCTCGCACATAACCATCAACCAAATAGTAGGCAACCCATTTAAAGTCTCCATCTAAATCACCGTGAATAATGCAATTATCAGTATCCGTTACATAGCCACAATAGCGAATTGTTGTTTTTTTATTTTGAGTTGTCCAATAAATGGGAACAGTGAAAAATTCTTGCTTCAATGGGCGTTCATTTTGTGGATTTGGATTTGACGAATTATAACCTAGAACAATAGAAAGAGGAACTTGAGAAAGCTTTTCTTATTTTTTGTTTTTCTTACCTAATTTATGTAAAATTGTATCAGCTGCTTGATGACCTAAAGTAGAAAAAAAGAAGCTATATTCTCTATAATTAATAGTCAGCTCTTTCAAACCTTCACTACAAGCCATTTGCCAATGTTGACATCGAACACCTTGATCATAGTTAAATATTTTCAGTGGAAATTCAATAATATCTCCAACAGCCAACACGTTTTCAACGGATGTTTCTAAACCACCATTAACACGTATATAATTATCCTTGGTCATATCAATTGGTGAATTTTTATATATTTCAGTGCATGGCTCCGATCCAATAGCAATAATGGCCATATCACATGCAATCGATTCACCATTAGACAAATGAACATGAGTTAACACATTATTTTCACCGGTATATTCTTGAACTTCTACTTTAGGAATAAATCGTGCACCATTTTTTTCATGAATACGTTGTAATGCTCGACCAACTTTTTCACCAAATATTTCTTGAAAACAAGAAAGATACCTTAGAAAACAGTAGATACCTAGCTAACTTCTTTTAAGCTACGCTCTCAGCTTGCTCACGTTTCAGTTTCTTTAAACGGTTTTCATTACTGCTAAATAAAACCTACTTTTCATTGGTACAGTTTCTCGCATGACAACAGTGATATTTTTAGTTTCTTCTGGTTTCTTTTCTTCTGTCGATTCTTTATTGTCATTTTTCTTTTGTTCAGGACCCGCCAAACCTGTCGTTAACCATCCACATAATTCCAATCCAATAAAAGAATGTCCAATGATAACAATATTCTTCGTTTGTGAATGTTTAACTTTATTAACGATATTATGAGCATCTTCCAATGATCGTAAAAGATGAATACCACGTAATTCACCTCCAATAGTATTTTTAGGTAATGGTCGTGGACGTAATCCCGTTGCTAAAACAAGATAATCATATTGTTCAGATTTTAATTGTTTACCAAGTGTTTGATATGTAACAGTTTTTGCATGAAAATTAACTGATTTTACTTCGGTATCCAAATTTAAATCTAATTTAGCTTTTTTAAAATAGGTTTGATCGCGTAATAATAAATCTTTAGGTGGTTTTAATCTAAACAAGCTTGTATTAGTGAGAGTAATCAAGTGAAGTTTTATACGTACGGTTGTTTTGATAATTGTACACGATCATAAGGTAACGATCCTTCTCTTGTGAACAATACAACTCGTCCGCGAAATCCATTTTGTCGTAGAGTATCACCACAAGTAAATCCTGCAGCTCCCGCTCCGATAATTAACACCGTTACTTTTGTGTCACACTGGAGATCATCAGGTATATTTGTACATTCGACTTTTTCTAAATCTTGTTTTCTTGCCACTAATATCACTTGATCATCGACAATATCAACATTGTATTTTTGCAAACTACCGTGACCAGGATGATCTTCTATATCACCCGTTTCCACGCTATAACAAGCACCATGAGCAAAACAGCGTATTCGTCCATTTACAAAAACACCTTTAAATAAATAAAATAGTAACACAGTACAATTAAAATAAAATTTGATTTTGGTCGTCTACCTTTCACTAATGGTAATTTATAATGTGCACATTTAGATGATAGTGCATAGTAACGATTATTTTGTTTTAGCAACAAAACGGTTGCTTCAACCGTTGGTGTTTTTACTTCAAATTCTTTCATTTGTCCATTTTCCAATTCGTCAATTTTACATAGACGATGACGAATTTGATCAGATAGTGAAAGATCGTCAGCATTTGTTGACATTGTTAAATTACTAATGAGTGATTTTACTTTATCCATTTTTCTCAGGGATTGAGGATAGAATAATGATAAAGGATTAGTCTGAAATTGAAATAAGAATTTAGAAACACGTTGAAATATCATTATCTGAAATGGTTTTAAAATGAAATCAAAGTTGAATGTGCGACTCAACTAGCAATAGGTATTTGGACACTCATAAGATTACGTTTACATGCAGATCTCATCATATTCCAACTAGTTTCTTGCACTATCGATTTGTGTTTCATTTATAAATTTTATAAATTCTTTTATCCAAATTAAGTTTTTAAGAAACGGAATTAGGAGACGTATATGAAATGTTTGCAAATCATGTGTATGGCCAGTCCACGTCTACACACGTGTAGATCTTTTTGGCCAAGTTTTATGTACAGTTAAGCAAAAATAAAGATAGCCGTGCTTTAGGAGATCATGCTTTTTACACGGTTGATATAAACTTTATTCTGTCAAAATAAAAAAATTTTACACAGTTGCATACTGATTGTATGTTTTGAAGTAATGCTACTCACTTTAGGAGCAAACGAAGCATGAGGACAGCGATACTAAGTCCTAAGAACATGAGTCCGTCACGACAGTTTTTCCTAAATGCAAAGCTAAATTTCAATATTTTTTTAATTTATTGGCATAAATTTATCGAAATATTTTAATCTTTATGCTGAATTTTCGATCCACATCGTATTTTCTACTGTATTTTTTGATAAAGCATTGTAAAAACTTGCCTATGACATCTCATTTTATAGAGAACTGAACGGGCTATCCAATGTGACAGTTAAAAGATTTCTGGATGGTATAGTAAGGCAGCTAGGGTTTCTAGAAAACAGGGTTTTTCAGAAATCATTTTCTCAAGCCTCAGAGGTGTCGTATAATTCTTCTCTATCAGCTATATAGAGTTTGATGCGCTCTTTCATATAAAACTAAGTTCAAGATTCCACGTTAGGGAATGGCGTTAGGAGATGTTTCACAAGTTAGGCCAAATCCCCTGGAAAATGATGAAAAGTGGACATTTCCACTGGGAGAGTAACGTGCCAATAACTTTTTTCCCGAGTCACTTGAAGGCTTATGGTTTCTCCATTCGATTCAACTCGTCGAGCTCTACAAAATGAGGTGTGCTTCGTCGCTGGTACCGTATGTCGATATAATGGTGGTGGATTTCATATGGATAGAATCAGATTCGATTCATTATGGAAGCGCTAATTTCCGTCCGCCGGCTACACTATAATACTTTTTTTCAAATGTCTGCATACCAGATTGTAGCCTGTGAAACACTCTATCTGATGGTATAGTCAGTGAAGTCGCGCAGAGCAAAAAAAAAATCATAAGATTGCATGCAGCTGTGAAGAACAGATTCCGCATTTTATATAGTAGTAAATGTTATTTCGTTTTTTTCTCTGCTCAAAGGTAATTAGTTTTCCATGTGTTATATGTAGAAATTTTGCCAAGGAAAAGAAGTTTCGAGTGGTATATAATAGGTGTGATTAACTGTGAAATGGAACGACAAACATATTAAATACAATTTCCGCTAGGTTTCGAGCCGAGAAAATATTCAAGTGATAAAATTGCTTTTGAGTAGTTCTAAGATTTCAAAGATGCCCAATTCGACTCGCCTACTCATATTGTACCTACCCTATGAATAAAACTGAATTCGGTTAACGGGTCGATTTCATCACAAAATGGTCCCTCTCCTTTCAGCTTTATCCGGTTTGATTTCGCTGAGATGCCGAAGAAATAAAGTGAAAAAATGTGATTTCGTCACGCTTGGACTGACCGTGTACCTTTTTGAATAGAAAAATGGTTATGCTCAGGGTTCTCAAATATTCCCCATTCGACTGTTTTGTCTCTCACTGGCAATTTATTTTGAAGTTTAAGCCATATTTGAGAGGAAAGGGATTGATCGGTGGGTTATTAATTACCTAATTTGCAAAGATTTAGGCCCTCTTTAGCATATCTTATCGTAAAGATCATTATCGTCAGGGTCGTACCGATCTCTTCAACGTTAGGAAGAGGAGATCGGTTATAAAATGACATAACTTAGAGGAAAAAAGAAGAAAAACGGTATCATAGTGCTACATTGCGGCTTATCTTAACTTTTTGATGCTTACCAAAACTTTAATTTTCAAATAGTTTTAAAATTGGAGGGGATCACAGACACACACCCTCCGTTCGGGACGGCCCTGATTATCGTACAGGTTATTGGATGGTTTGTAGCAAATAGAGTTATTCTGAGATTCGAGCCGCCCACAAAAACATCACTGTTTCAGTCGTGCGCGTCTTAGGGTTTATCAGATGTGTAGTACGAATTTGTCGATAAAACCTAATTGAAAGGAAAAATCTTTTGTTTAAAATTTGAAAAATTAGCTTTGAAAGGATGAACTCTGAATTAGAACTAGAAGAAGAAACGACTACTCGTGAGAATATTGACTGTGAAAGTGAGAAACAAATAACAACCAATTGACGATAACAAAACAAAACTCGCTAACCTCATCTCCATCGTCAAACCGGCAGTGTAATTTTAACAATACATGTTTACAAAATCCACAATATTCACTTTAATTTATTTGTAATATGTGACTGTAGTTGAGCTCTTCGGATATTTTAGATTGAGATGACATTATTTCGTTAAAAAAAGCATCCCCTGTTTTGTCCCCATTCGGAACTTTCTCTCCCACATTCGGAAAAAATAATTTGAGATCGCTGGTCATGCTTACAGTTCGTGCAATTTTCAACGAAACTGAACAATTCTTTCAGAAGATACTCGTTGTAGCTAGTTTGGCTGCTAATCAGTTTTTGCTTAAGATAGATATTAAATAAATAGTGTGGATGTTGAACTTGTTTCGGGCTTGAGCACATCTAACAGACATAAGTAAAGTCGATTTCCTTTTATTACAAAAGCAATTTTAAAAATTCTCTTTTAAATCTGTTAGAAACACAACAAAATGTGCTACTCGATAATGTGCCTCTTGTATTGGTTGTTTCGTGCTAGCCGTCAATTTTTCCCATCAAAAATGCCCGCCGTCACACATAAAAAAAGGAAAAGAACAAATTTGATTGATCAATTTTTTCAAAGCTAGGTCTTTTTTATTTTTTTCTATTTTATATATGTTATGAATATATACTCTATTATCATTGATGTCATTGATGATATATAGCCTTTTTTTAAAATTACTGCTGTAGTTTTGACGACTAACGCTGCAGCAATGTAAACAAACTTTTATTCCCTTGACTTTAGTCTAGGGTCTTACGAAATGGTTGTCTGTGTGTCTGTGTGTGCGCAAAATACGGAAAAATGAGTGTTAGATATTCTATGGATAAGCGAATCACAAGAGAGAGAAGTAGAAAATTATTTTTTACAGCAGGGAGAAAATATTCAAAGAGATGATCTGGAAT